TTTTCGCCTTCCAACGGCATTTCCTACGCAAGAGGTCTCAAATTATCGTAGTCAAATTGTGCTAAACGTGGCTACTCTTGCAGATTTTTGGTGAATACTGGTATCGAACTTTTCGTTACTATTGGTTTCACTCAGTTTATAGTGCTGAGAATTTAGGTACGATTTTCAATTAAGGAAAGAATCTCAACAGATAATTGGTAGCGTACAACTTTTCCGTCGCTGAGGACTTACAGCAAAGAACACACATTTTAGTGGCAACTGTAGAAAGAATAAGAAAAGACTTGCGGAGAAGTCATCAGTCTGATGTTGAAGAGAAGACAGTGAATACTACAATAGAGTCGGGCGGTATAATGATGTTGAACTGGAAAGATAAGGGTGGCATTATTACGATGCCCACGATTAACGATGTGGTCCTTTCTCGAACTCATCCAGGCCATAATTTATTGAAACCCACAACCAGGTGAAAAAATAGCATGGTTGTAAGCATTACAACTTACATGTGAAACTGTTGATTTCATACGAACACTTCATTTTTGACTTTCATTTAACCTCGGTATGAATGATCAATGTAGTTTGTTTCATTGATAAGCTAACACGATATTGTTACCAATACTTCTCCGGCTAACGTTTCGATGTCATCGTCGTCCTCGGAGCCGATGATTCGAGATACATGATACACAGTCGTTCATCTTCTCGATGTGGTGCTTTTTGTCGTCGCATTGAGCCGGATCTTCCTTTAGTGGAACAAATATCGAGAAGACGATGCACTCTGAACATCGACTCGGATCATAGGATCTGGGGAAGAGGAAAACGCCCAAACGTTAGCCGAATAAATATTGCTAATTCTTAACTCTTTTATTTACTGCCTTTTTCTTCTTAATGGCAGGTTATGTTTCGAATTATAACTCGTATGAAATGCTGAGATATCTGCAAAACTCCGGACCGCAGGTGTATGCAGTGGAGAACGAACACGCGCTGTTGTCCTTACCGGGGAGCAGCGCACTTCACCACTACACCATCCGGGTCCCCGGTAAGGACAACAGCGCGTGTTCGTTCTCCACTGCATACACCTGCGGTCCGGGGTTTTGCAGATATCTCAGCATTTCATACGAGTTATAATTGCTAATTCTATTTTGGAAAAGTAAATCGTATACGTTATAAATTACTGGTTGTGAAACAATGTTTTTGAGCAAAATGTGTGAAGCGTCATTGGGAAAAGGTTGTGTGAACAAAGCTTGTTAACTGTTTCTAAAAACAAACCGCGTTGAAGGAACTTGAAGAGTGCATACTATATGAATGAGCAACCAGTCTGAAGAACTCTCCTCAGTGACCACTTTAGGATGGCGAAAATCACTCCCTAGCGTCGAACCTCGGTGTTCTAGCATAGCAGAGGAGACATTTCTGCACCCTCTTCACCGGCAAAGTTGTGTAGTGTTTACGCTCTTCAACAGAAACACTCGCTTGCTGCGAAAAGAACTCGCCCGAAATAAAAAAGGTTTTTAGTCAATTATTAAGCGTAGAAGATTGGTTTTGAGGGGCCACACCTGACAAGTTGTATAAGCTATCGATTGAATACAAAAGGTAGAGCAAAAGATATCTGCGTGATAAATTAAACCACTCAAAAAGAAATTCATTGGGATCAAATGCTACCCATCCACTTTGTCCTCCTACGTGTCGGTTGACCTTAATGCATCTTAGGCGTTAAATGTTAACAAAGATGGTGTCCTACGACGTCGAATGATTTTCCGTTGATTCAGGACAATGTGTGTTAAGAGATCAGCATACTGTCATTTCAAAAAAGGAAAACATTAGGTTCAAGTGTCACAGAATTAAAATTTCAAATAGTCTTTTTCGATATTTTTTAGCCCTTTTAAAACTTTCTTCCTAAATTTCAAACATTTTGAATCGCCAGTAGTGAAAACGTCCCTGGGCTTCTGAGAATCGAACATCAATATAAGCTATTTTATAACTAGTTTATATATAAACATTCGGAGCACAAATACGCAGAATTAGCTATATAACTTGCAAATACTCTATAGCACCAGTTTCCTACTCTAGCATATTTGGTATACGTGAGAGGCGTATAGGTCCAGTGGTTAGAGGTGTCCTGCAATACACACGTGGTCCCCAGGATCGACCTTCTATTAACCTCGGCATTAGATTATAAATGCGTCGTTTTCTTGTTCAGCAATCGCGAGGTTGCTATACAGCATACATTTACTTCCATACAAAAACACAATACAACAGTAGTTGACATTTCATCAGTATCGCCTTCTTCAGAGCCTGGAAAGATATAATGATATGCGATTTACCAGGCCAAACGCTTCAATAACATGTACAAAAAAACTATAATCAGCTATAACCACCTGTTCTGATCTTCCTCAGTGGAAGTCATGTTATAGCGGTAGGTTTCTCGAGAACCTGTTGATCATGTAATTGCCATTGAGTTTTTCGTCTTTTTATGTGTTACTGAAGCGTTTGGCCTGGTAAATCGCATATCATTATATCCTTCCAGGTTCTGAAGAAGGCGATACTGCCGAAACGTCAGCTAATGTTGTACTGTTTTGTGTTTCTCTATGGAAGTAAATGTATGCTGTATAACAATCTCGCGATTGCTGAACAAGAAAACGACACACATGGTCGCTTCCTCGATCTCGCGCCCCAAGCATACCAAACATTCTCTCCTTCTGGAATCGAGAAATGGATACTTGTTGGCACTTACCCACTCGAGCTCCTTCCTAGTGCTTGGTGGAGTCCAATACATGATGTTTCGTCAAGAGATTGGTCAACGTCGAACGCCTTATCCCTCGATATAGATATAAATTATGCACTGTTCTGTAGATTTGGTCCGCCAATGTTTATTTTAACATATTGTGGTAACTGCTAAATATTTTTAAACATTACCATATACGAATAACTAGTCGTAAAAAACAAGTAAGCACGAGCACATTTGATATTGTGTTTAAACGCTTGCAGAAGAACACTGGATTGACGTTAGTGCATTCCAGAACACTCCTTCCTCTCCACTAAGCACTGGAAAGTCTCCTTTTGATAAAAGGCTTTTTTGTCATAACTTCAACTGCACGTTTCTTTCGTTATCCACCATAGCAGATGTTCAGTGCAAAAAGAGGAAAAAAAATTACAGTCATTTGTTTCGCATAGTTGAGGCAGCTGCAAGGAGACAATGAGATTTCATTTCCACTATCGCCTCGAATATGGAATAAATATTACATCGAATGTTCATTAGAAAGTAGAATTGTCTCCAAGACCATAGGCAATATCACGATATTTGTGAATGGAGCAAGCCTGCATCTGGGAAAGTCGAACTAATACGTTTTCCATTAGTCATCTGTGTATCTTAGAAATGATTCGTAGCTCAGTCTTTTCGGTCACGAAGCAGGTAAGCGAAAATTAGTTCAAAAGTCGGTTTCTTGCAAATTTTAACTTTAGAATAGAGTTTTTCTCGGAGCACGTCCGGCACAATGTTTGTGAAGAAGCCGTCAACTGCATACGAGAAGTATAGTAAGGAGCTAGGTCCGTTAAAGAACGACAACCGGAAACGAAGCGCTTTGAAATCAATGCATAACGCCTGTTATAGCCTCGCACGCACATTGATATCAATGCATATGGTTGCGACTGTGTTAGAAGGACCCTGTGCTCTATGGAGAAATTAGCGAACAAAATCTTGGTGATTAGATGATTCTTGCCATTCTACAATGGTGCTGGGCCGTATAGATTTCCTAGAGGACAAATAGGAGGTAACGGGTACGGCAAATCAGTACTCTTCAAAACAAAACACACGACTACAGAATTACGTCAGAAAAGAAGAAAACAAGCATTTACTCAGCTGAGGCAGAACACTTATAGGGTTATCGGTAGTAAATAAAAAGTTATATATTGCTCATAAGGCTGTTCTCACTTCTCCAAGGCATATTTATTGAGAGGTTCCGTCGGAGGACAAGCAGGCCTATGCGAATATATACGCAAATCAGCTTTGCGGGTTGAGTTTTGTTATTAGAAAGAAGCTATCTGGATCATTTTATTACCTGAACAGCAACAACTGATGATCCGTGAATGGCCAAAAATGTTCGACTGTGAGACGTTTTCATTTTCTGCATGTAGTCCAGTTCCACGCAATTCGATTCTTGTTCTTTGCAAGGAAAATTCCCTTCGCAGAGGACGCTGCACTGATCTACTCAACCTCAAATCGAGACTCTAACAGAATTACTTCTGGAAACCCCGCTATTCCAGGAGAAAGACAGCCAGTTTCTGCTTGGACATTGGTCTCTATTGATCGATCAATACGGTGAACATATTGCAGACCGAAAGATGCCTTGGTGCTTCACCTGTTTCGAGTTTTACGCAGAATGTTTGCAAATTCAGTTATCGTATACAACTCATTCGTATTCCGTTGCATTTCACAATGTGCTCAAAAAACGGCTTTTACTGTGTAAAAAATACGTGGAGAACAGAATTCCTAACGATTGTGTTCTTATTTTCAATGATTCTATCCATGCGGCACCCACATGTCGGGCTATTCTGGCATTTTTTAAAATCCAGTTGAGGTTTCGCTAAGAAGGTCTTTTACTCGCACGTACTTCGTCAGTAAGGTGCTGAGCCACTAAGCATCGAGCTGCTTCAACCGACGTCAGTGTTCATAATCGATGACACGAAGTAGAACCCTACCCTCTTCGCGTCCATCCTTTAATGTGTTCAAAGAAATTTTTAGAATTTAATTTCCTCGATTTTTATTACAATGTCCTCGCTGGACACTGACTTAAGGTCACCAATGTGATAGGGACAGCGAAGTGAGATCAGCATTTCACAATAGTAACGACACAAACACAAAGAAATGAAAATTGTTCGGAAACAAATAATTGAAGTCTGACAAGAAAGATCTGAAATTATTTCGTTGATCTGGTAAAAACAAGGTGAGAGAGCTGCGTCCGTTCCTCAACAATGTACAACAATAGATAACAACAGTACATAACGACAGTGGATTAAGGCCAGTTATTTCCAGGACATGCGTCTCCCAGTCCTATCAGGCCTAGTTTCTCAGCGCTCAGGCCGGTACCCGGCCAGCACTGGAGCATGCTCCCCGGCCCTGCTTGAGGAGACTCAGCCGGGTGAGGAGGAAGGTGAGTGACCGGCCGTCGTGCCAACAGTACCGCTCTCCGTCTCTGCCACGGACTCCGCGCTGCGTCTCGACGCCGCAGCGCTGCCTCGGCGCCCTTCCCGCCCACCTGCCCAACCTGTGCTCTGTCCGCCACTAGCCGTCGGTAGGGCCCATTCTCGGGAAACCGTCGATCGTGGCTGGCGCTCTGTCCCGGGACCTGATGAACGGTGACGCTTCGTGTTCGGATGGCTACTGCGATCCGGCGGAGGTTGAAATACTTGAACACTATGAAATCAATAGGGAACGGCATAAAGGTTAGTGAAGCTGGCTGGCTTGTTGTTCTGAATGTGCGTGATTCGTATAGTTTGTGTGCATTTCCTCTTATTGGAGCGCGTCGTGCGTTTTTGTTTCAAACGCTGTCCCAGCTCTCCATATGACGTATCATGTTTTTGCAATTGCTACGTTAACGACGGAGCAATTGATACCGAAATTCGCCAAATACTTTATTGACGTGTGTAGTATAGCAAGGGCAAGTTATGACACTCAACCATTAACTCCTAGTTTAACCACGGTTTTGAGCTCTCGCAAAAGTACCGTTAAAAGATTCCTACTTTTATTTAAGAACTGTTGCGTTTGACCCTTCGATCAATCACCCAAACTTAGTAGACAATTTGTAAGGAACCATTTCAATTGGATTTTGTGTTTTGGCGGGAATTAGCAAGTTCTTGTCATTGTGATGTTTAGTCCTACTTTGAAGATGATGGGGATGAAAAAAATAGCTGCTTAATGAGTAGAGAAGCGAGGCTGTGTTTTTGACAATTCATCGAGACGTTTAAAGGTCACCTGTAATTTTTTTTCTACCTCTTTTATTTCATTGTTATGGTGACCGACATAATTTTGTTGCAAACAACTACGAGTGATTGTAAAAAAAAAACTTTACAAATGTAGTGTTACACACTTATGGCCAAATCATGTCTAAATCATTTTGATTATTTTCCATCATTATTCAATAAGAACTTTCCAGATGAACGTGACAGCATCCAGAAGAAGACTTTCACAAAATGGGTTAACAAACATCTGGCAAAGGTCAGTTCTTCGTTTTTTATTGTTTGCCGTAATTCCACCCATTACTTCACTTTTTGCTGCTTAGCTTAATTTCTATTGCAAATTCGAGTACGTTTTGTTCACATCATCTTTCATCTCATGAGTGTTGCTCGCTTGTTCGCTTGTTGTATTGTATCTTCTCTTAGCATCTTCGCTGCGTGTCTTTAGTGAGGTCATGCGGATTGACCTCGCCCTGTGACAGGTGCACTGATCCCAGCCTTTCAATTTTGCCATACCTTGAAAACACCAGTTTGTAAGGTGATTTTGTACCATGTAGTCTATTTCTCCTGAAAAGCAGAACGGAAAAATAACTTCATAGTTTTCACTTCATACTATTTTATTTTTTCATACTTTTCACACTCATACTGAAATACTGTCGTACACTCACACTGGTTTCGTACTGAAAGGGAACCACTCATTCATGTTTTTGGAATAAGCGTTGTTATTTTCACGAAATGGAAACGTTAGAATATCGGAATAGTAAAAGAAAAACATCGAACTTCTTTTGCTACTTTTTCTTTTGCTCTTTTGCTACTTTTCAAACCAGTAAAAGCAGTATAATACATAGGACAGAAATCGACCGGCAAAGGGGTTTTGCCACCATGTGGTATAGGATTAACGGATTGCCCGCAGAGCAACTCACATTGTGCCGTACAAACTGATTCCAGTTAGGTGAGGTCAACCACGAACCAATATTTAGTAGTTTATTGAGAGTGTAATTTGATAACGTCGAGGAAAACTGAAATTTTAAAATTTATTCCAAAACTGACTCAGTCGTGTCTTGCATGTGGGTCAAACTGCTCCGTTTTGCTTAGTTTTTCCCTACTCTAGAAAATCGACTGCGGTCTGGTTGTTGTGGCTCAATGACGGTTATCCACGAGTTGTACACACGCATTGGTTTCAATGGCTATATTGACTCATCAAACTCATTTAATTAAAAAGTTGTAGTAGACCGCAAATAGAAAAGTAAACAATGTGATTTCGACTGCAGCCTCAGATCAACTGGGTTTAATGTCGATATGGGCTCCTCAGATCAATCCCGTTGACGGATGATTGCTGATGCCACTGGTAGACTGAAAAGTAGCTGAAACGAACGCAGAGCAAGGGCCTCCGTGGCGCAGTTTGTAATGCGCGAGCCTTCGGAAAGCCGGAAGGAGAAATCGTGGTTCGATCTGGCCCGGGGTCCAAGTTTTGCAAATATCTCAGCATCGTTATGATCAATTTATTAAGTTGTTCAGAATTTAACACAGGTTTCTTAATCTTTATTTTTCCTTCGTATATTTTGTTTTTCGAGTGATGTACTGTTAGATATTGACGAAAAGGCAAGTTAAAGTCTGTTTTCTGTCAGGTTCTATATGTTAGAGCTTGAGGCGTCAATACGGCAATTTCAATAAATTTACCTTTACAAATTCAAACTCAGCTGCGCACAGCACAAACGAGTTAAAACATATGCGGACGAGAGAGGGTTAACGAACGCACAATGCTACGTTAGCTTCAAAAATTTCGTCGTCGCGAATTCGACGCTGAATGAAGGTTGCGGAGAAGTGCAATCGATGAGGTTGAATTGAACACATTCCTGTGAGCAGACACAAACACAACTTCTCGAGGACTTCTAGAAAAACTCGATGTAAGCATCCGAACGGTTTTGGAGCATCTGAAGAAGATTTTAAAGTCGAGAAAGTTCGAAAAAGTGATTGTCGTGCGAACTGAGCATGTCACACCATGGGTGCGCAGGCACATCTCGCACAGCCGATACTATGAAGTGTAAACCAAGTGGTCTGCGAAACATGCCTCGTCCACCGTACTCGGCAGACCTCTCCCTTGCTCGCAATCACACTTTAGGCGCTAAGACGATTTCCCGTTCGAGATATGTTTCAGGAACCAAACCGATGCCGAAACTGTCATTACCTCGAAGAGTTCAAAAAAGGAATAAATAAATTTGTTTCTTGTAGACAAAAATCTGTAGATTCTAGTAGTTTCATTTCGACTCTTTATTTCGTCTAGTAAAGTTTTGTTTTGAGCAGAAATCTATCACTTTAAAGAATACGGATCGGCGTCATTAATTTCTCAACAACGTTATAACTAATCAACACAGTGATTAGTCACTTTTCATGCAAGTTTTGCCTGTTTACGTATAAAAGGGTAAAAGGATAAAGCTTTGGGCGTTGAGCAGTCCCTTAGGGATGCTCCATGCGTTCTGCTTCACTAAACATCATTGGAGGTCAACGAATGCATATCTCACCTTTCACAGTGACTCGTGATGGCCTACTCATGTATTGAGCCAGTGTTGCTATCCTCCCAGACAACTCTGGTACCAATTCGCCGACCGCGGAGGAATGGAAGGCTTGGTGAGCCTTGGGAATGGAGATGGACTCCATGCGTATTGCAGGGCACCACTGCGGCACACATACCTCATTATTTTACTGTTTACATATGCCATAATTTGGTTCTTCTCGTGACTCCCAAAGGAACCTCTTAATAACGTAGGACTTATAAAGATGGGAGCATGCTCCTTGGTGTACATAGATATTGTCACCAGTGTTTATAGAGCATAACGCCCAACATGCTTTTAATCAATGCATACGTTGTAGAAGTAATGGCCGCCTTGAAGTCCGTACCAACATGTCTCAACTTGTAATGAAGTTTGTCGATTGAAATAAAATTCAGTAGAATCTACGTATCCATACGAAAGATACAAGTCTTCTTATGCTACCAAGTTAAAATTCTGATTTTTTGAAGCACTCAAAATGTATGTTTGTTTTTCTCTTTGGAGCTGGTATTTCGGTCACCTACAGAGTATTGAACGAGAGGGTTTTGTCCAGAACTATGCGTTGATGTTGGCAAATGCGTTGATGATGTTCGCGGCTATCGCATTTACAATAAAACTAAGGATTTTAGGAATTCAAATGTCGTTTTTAATTTCCCAGAGATTTCAGTTTTAGAGGAAACTGAAAGTGAAATAAGACTTCAGGAAAATGTGCTCTTAGTGCAATAGAGCAAAGTATTCTCTATCGATCTGTGAAATCTCCAACTCCTTAACTACTACAGTAGTCGAGAAATTTTTATTTTTCGGAAAACCATATATCATATTTTAATGACTGAGTGATGAAAATATAAGATTTCGTAGATAGATTTGGTTTCACTATGTAGTTCGTAATCGTTTGCTGGCGTTGAAAAGTCCTCTCAGTTCCAGCTCAGATTCATGTAGTAATCACTTTCCTTAAGAACAGTCCAAAAATATTAGTTGACCATGACCATGCTGTTTTCCTTTCCAACGAAAGGCCATGGTTGAAGTTGTTGCTTTTTTCATGTTTAAATGGCTTTTTGCTCAAAATTTCCATAGCAGTGTGCTAATCCCAGTACCTCTTGCATTCGATTTCCTTCCTCGTATCCCTCATCCTCGAAGGTATTCAGATTGGCGTGTGCGTCCGCCTACAGCTTGAGAATTTTGTTCTTGTTTTAAGAATATGGTTGATTAGTGTTCGAGTCAATCCTCCCTACAATCATGAGATAACTGTGATCAGTGGTTGAATTGATTTTATGGCTTCAAAATTTGTGGTTTCGCAACATTCTTGTTCTATCATAAAGAGCTAGGTAGCCAACTTGTTTTGTTCATCTTTAATCTCGTTAACCTTCAAGTAACATGAGCGGCACAAGTAAAGCAATCATTTGTCCCCACCGCGCACAACTCTTCGTAGAACACGAGGAGTATTGCACGAAGCTTTTTTAAAACTTTTTTGCCGAGAGGCGTTTAATGAGATGTTCTGCCGCGAAAGCCATATTTTCCACAAGATCATCCTTGCGCTTTCAATGCTAGCGTCTTTTGACTGAATAGGGTCGGTGACTATCTGAGTTTGTGGTGTTGATGAGAAACATGTATGATAACTCACAATTCTGAAAATAGTTTGTGCTCAAGTCTGGCAGTGGGGACCCATAAAACACAATAGACCGTATAATAGTAAATCGAAGGTTTTGCATAAAAAAACGTTGTTATACCAAAATCCTACGCTGTCGTCCAGTTAGCTCTGTCGAGTTTGGTAATAAAGGCAGAGTTTCGAAGCCCGGGTGTTGTTGTAGAGAAATCTTGGTCTTTTTCGTTGACCAATCCGAAGCACACCCGTTGAAGTTTCTGGTCCATTTTGTCGATTTGCTGGAGATATTTCTCCGCCGTATTCGTTTCGCATTGATTCAAGAGGCTGTAGTTGA